AAAGGGGTAACCCCAGGAAAACCCAGTTTGCCTCAAAGCTTCCTGGATTGTTGTTTGCAGAAGGTTAAATCAATCTTGTCTTAGCGCCCAAGCTTAAGCTGCAAAGGATGGTACTCTGCTGGCCTCACAAATGTGAACAAAGGAGGATAATAACTAACAATATATCCTCTCCTACACTTAGACTCTTGAGAGTCCCATGGACTTAAGGAAATCAGATCGTGAAGCTGAGGCTCCAATACTTTGGCCACCTCATGAGAAGAGGAGACTCCCTGGAAAAGACCCTGATGTTGGGAAAGATGGAGGGCACAAGGAGAAGGGGATGACAGAGGACGAGATGGTTGGACAGTGTTCTCGAAGCTACCAGGATGACTTTGACCAAACTGCAAGAGGCAGAAGACAGGAGTGCCTGGCGTGCTCTGGTCCATGGGGTCCCGAAGAGTCAGACATGACTAAATGACTAAACAACAACACACTTAGCAAGGAGAAGGACGCAGGGGATGGGGACCAGAGTTAAGTGGCTCTGCCTGTCATTGGCTCTGGTTCCACTCTCTGTTTGGGTTCCCTGCATTCGGTCCTGCCAATCCCAATGGGCACCAGCCCCCACTGCCTGACTGATTTCTGAAGTAGCCCAGTTCAAGAAGGGCTTCGTTCACCTGCTTTTCTTTGTGCTGTGGTTCCCACCCCCACCCCAAAATGGAGGGTGCAAAAAGCAAAAACTCTGACATGATTGACAGGCAATGCATTTAGCATATTAGGACCTCAGTGGGAAGCTTTTATAGCATGTGACTCAGGCACAGGGACACATTGTCTTCAAGGAGAGGAGCTTGTCAACAGCTCTAGCCAAATCCTTAAATGACAAGTCTACTGTTTCGTTTCACTTTTCTCCCCCAGCATAGCAACATCGTCGACAGGGAGGGGGGAAAGCTACAAGCTACACAAACAGAGTTGGCTCTCCCTCTTGTGCATTTCACTCAGTTTATTTGTCAAAGTTTGTCGGCAAACAGGTTCCCACTGAGAAAGATTCCCAAGCCATTGGAAATATTAGGAACTGTGCTTCTACGAATAAATCCTAGCTTCCTGTGATTGATGAGAGACTTTATTCCTGAGATTCATTCATTACATTGGCTGAACCCAACCTTAATCTCTGCTGAATCTCTCCCCTGCATCTCCAGTGATCAATTTTTCACTCTGGAATGATCAATTTTTCACTCCAGTATGATATTCGAACCTATCAAAGCACCAAGAGAGGCTTTGATGCGCTAGCTTTCTTCCTTGAAGCAATATACACGGCCGAGGATTGTTTTCATGAGCAATTCCTTACTGAATCATCAGCTGAAATTTATCATATTTCCTAGCCAAAGCTTCAGTTCAGCTGTAATCCCAACTGTGTTTACAGACAGTCTAGCAGGGCCGGCCAAAATATGTATATTAAAATATTCCAGAAAACTTACTCTGGGGACTAAACACACTGTTCTGCTGCAGAGCAAACTGAAAAGAGTTCAGCTGCTATAACTGAATTTGGCAATAATGAAATGAATGCTGCAATTATCTGGGAGCCCCGTAAAGCTGTGTAATCAAGCAAGTCCTTCAAGAAGACCCAACACTGCCGCTTTCGGTTCTATCCATTGTGGAGTAACAAAAAAATTATCACTCTTAATGGTTAACTTCTTTAGCACTCAGCCGACTCGTCACATACCCTTCCTTCCAGGGCTTTTTTTCAGCCGGAACTCGCTCCGGACCTCAATTCCGGCACCTCTCAGGTGGGTTCCATTGCCATGCTTGTGTGTTTATTGAATATACAGGTGAAACTGTAGGTCAGCAGCCTTCCCCATGGTTGTGCTTCCTACTGAACCAGACTGAGAGACCATTTAAAGGCTCAGGAACCCATTGCAGGTGTTATGGATTGAATAGCTACTGCACCTTTTCACAATATTCTAATTTTCTGAGATTCATTTGGGGTTTTCATCAGCTGTACACCATGATCATCATAATTATAACAAATAAAGGCTTGACATATCTCACTTTGCATGTCATGAGTCTATCTCATATATTAGTTTCACCTTTTAAGTTGAATTACTGAAATATGAACTTTTCCACGATATTCTAATTTTTCGAGTTTCACCTGTATTATAAGAGAACATCCTGCTGACATTGGGCTACCCCAGGCCAGCAGAATTTCTGTCTTCTCCTCTTTGAAATGTCTTTGCATGAGCTTGGAGAATCTTGTCCAGTCAGGTTGGTCGGAAGCTGTACGGTAGCATAGCTGGATTTGACCAAGGGCCCATCCGATTTAGCCCTTTGACTACAAAGAGAACAAGGGAGATGTTCCTGGTGAGATCCAGCAACCCTTTTTCTAGAAAAACAGCACTGCCTCCTTCTATTTCCCATGGTCAGGCTATAAGTGTTGTTGCTTAAGCAGGTAAGGACTGTTGTGTTCATTTCCTGTTAGTGTGGGCTTCCCACTGACATCTGGTTCACCAGCGTGGATCATAAGGCTGCTGTCCTCCACAGGCCTTTGTCTTGACCCATGGTCAGGCATCATGGCGCACCCCTGTCCCCAGTCAACACATGTTCATACTCAGCAAGTGCCAAATTTAAGAAGAGTAGCTATTGATATTTCTCCCTTTATGGAGAGAGAAGGGTGCATGCACACTGTACAAAGGAGTGATTCAGCATAATCTCCGCAATTATTTTTAATGGCTCGGACTCCCGGTTCACTTCCTACGTTGTTTTCGGACAGCTCGATCTGCAAGTAATTTAGCTGTGTTTTCTCAGAGTGCCAAAAAGTAAAAGGGGAAAGAAAGAAAGGAAAAAAAAGAAGGAAAAAAAGAAACATTCCATTTGTTTATACTGGAGACAAATTTCAGCCAATTGACACAATTTTGATTGATTAAATAATGGCTTTCTTCCTCATTTATGGGCAATTTTGGGCTTCTATCATGACATAAAAGAGCTAAGTGGCTGTCATCTGTCTGCATATTATGTGATGGGCAGACTGTCATGCGTAAGTCTTAGCAGCTCATGACAGGAGCCTTTCAGTGAAAAGTCCCAATCTTCCATTTCGACAGGCTGTTCTGGAGACAAGGCAAATGATTAAACAAGTGGTGGGGGAGGTCAACCATAGGCCAATTGCAGGTGTTTAAAACTGTCAGCATTAGATTTTGATCATATGTTAACGTGCTGGGGTGAGGCAGCCCCTGAGTCTACCTTATAAAGAAACAACTGTCCCTTTCTTTAACCTGCTATGCTTTTTCCCAGGAATCAATGTGCTCTCTCTTTCCCACCCACCTACCCTCAACATAAAATTTACTTTCCAACAGAAAACATGGCTTAAATATTCCTCATTGCCTTTGAAAAGCATGAGTGTTGTGTCAGGAAGGACAAATTTGTCAGTTTTGGTTTTACTCAGTTTCTCCTTTTTCCAGTATTAAGTTCAGTTTGTGACATTTCCAAATCGTTTTGTAAATTTCTCCTAATATACACATCCTTGTATAATGTACACCTTTTTTAACAGGTAATGTTCCCCTACTATAATGCACTTTGATATATTATTTTCACTATCATAAGCATTTCTATGCACGCTTGACCAGGTTATATGCATTTTTGGACACATTACTTGACCGGAGAATCGCATTGCAAAATTCAGAGAATGGTGGCTTTCGAAGGTTCACGTATCATTTCAGAAATTGCAGATTAGGTAGATTTGCCTTTCGGTGAGAACCAAATTTCCACCCTGTTGCTAGTGCTGCAGCACCAAGCAATGAGCCAAATGTGTCAACAACAAAACAACAGCCCAGTGAACATGATCCTCAATGGGTTTGACAGGCTACAAAAAGAAAGAAACCAAATGTTTCTTCATTAATTGAACCAAAAAAGGTCATTCCACTATTAAGCTTCTGCTCCATCTGAAATGCTGGCTTTGAAAAGAAACAAAATAAATTAAATTAAATTTTTAAAAATCCTTCCAGTAGCACCTTAGAGACCAACTAAGTTAGTTATTGGTATGAGCTTTCGTGTGCATGCACACTTCTTCAGTTACCTAGGATAAGTGGATTGTGTTGTTGTTGTTTAGTCATTTAGTTGTGTCCGACTCTTCGTGACCCCATGGACCAGAGCACGCCAAGCACTCCTGTCTTCCACTGCCTCCCACAGTTTGGTCAAACTCATGCTGGTAGCTTCGAGAACACTGTCCAGCCATCTCGTCCTCTGTCATTCCCTTCTCCTTGTGCCCTCAATCTTTCCCAACATCAGGGTCTTTTCCAAGGAGTCTTCTCTTTTCATGAGGTGGCCAAAGTATTGGAGCCTCAGCTTCACGATCTGTCCTTCCAATGAGCACTCAGGGCTGATTTCCTTAAGAATGGATAGGTTTGATCTTCTTGCAGTCCATGGGACTCTCAAGAGTCTCCTCCAGCACCATAATTCAAAAGCATCAATTCTTCGGCGATCAGCCTTCTTTATGGTCCAGCTCTCACTTCCATACATTGCTACTGGGAAAACCATAGCTTTAACTATACGGACCTTTGTTGGCAAGGTGATGTCTCTGCTTTTTAAGATGCTGTCTAGGTTTGTCATTGCTTTCCTCCCAAAAAGCAGGCATCTTTTAATTTCGTGCCTGCTGTCACAATCTGCAGTGATCATGGAGCCCAAGAAAGTAAAATCTCTCACTGCCTCCATTTCTTCCCCTTCTATTTGCCAGAAAGTGATGGGACCAGTGGCCATGATCTTGGGTTTTTTGATGTTGAGCTTCAGACCATATTTTGCACTCTCCTCTTTCACCCTCATTAAAAGGTTCTTTAATTCTAACACCCTTAGGTATAATGTCCAGGTTCTTGCATTTAGTCAGAAAGAAGATGTCAGTCTGTACCTGTGCAAGTTTCTTGGTGAGGTTGATGGACTTCAATTTCACGCGGTTCAATGTGGTGCCTTCCATAGTTCTAGTTACAGGTAGGTAGCCGTGTTGGTCTGCCATAGTCGAAACAAAATAAATAAATAAATTCCTTCCAGTAGCACCTTAGAGACTAACTAAGTTAGTTATTGGTATGAGCTAACTTAGAAGAAGTGTGCATGCACACGAAAGCTCATACCAATAACTAACTTAGTTGGTCTCTAAAGTACTACTGGAAGGAATTTGTTTTGTTTTGTTTTGTTTTGTTTTGTTTTGTTTTGTTTTGTTTTGTTTTGTTTTGTTTTGTTTTGTTTCGACTACGGCAGACCAACACGGCTACCTACCTGCAACTAGGCTTTGAAAAGGGTTTGGGCTTTTTTTTGCACACCAGTTTCAACTTCTATACAGCTGTTTGTTGTGGATTGGGTACTACTCACACATGCAAGTCTTTCTCAGCATCCACGTGATGTCATCCTCGACAAAATGCGTTCACATACCCCCACCCCAGTACCAATTTAATCCAGTTTTACCACTTCTACAGGACAAGAGAAGCCTTGGGCCTGATCCAGCAGGGCTCTTCTTATGGGATGGCATTTCGATAAGGATGGTGCTGTATGGATACTGTGCAAAAATTGCACGTGTGATCAGTACCGCATCCAAAGTAAACAGCCGTCTGGAAGAGCCCATGGTCTGGGGGGTACACGTTGCAAAAACTTTGCTGTAGCTTGCTAGAAAAGCATTCAGATATAAAGTACCTGATGTTTAGACCTGTTTGGTGGTAGAATAGACATCTCAGGGAGGTGATGGGTTCTCTGCATCTCCCAATTAGATAATTTTATGTCTTGAGGCCCATCTTCTACCCACCCCCCAAGTACTGATATTTCAGCACACGGTGAAAACCTTCCCTTTTACAAAACGGTTTTGGGTCTTGTGCGTTTTAGGCTCTGCTGGCTTTTATTTTATTTTTTTATTTTTATTTTTTTTATTGTGATGGACAAACACTGCAAAGTTTATTGGCAAAGAAGTAGCAGTTTTGCCATTTATAAATGTGTTCCAGAAGCCTCTACAGCAGGGGCAGCAAACACAGTGCTCTCCAAATGCTGTTTGACTCAAACTCCCACCAGCCCAGCTGGCTTGGCTAATGGTCTGCTGGCTTTTATTTTAAAGGGATTTCTTTTCGTGTCATCTTTATGTCTTCTGCTCTAGTTTTGTTGCTCTGCTCTTTTATTCTAATATTAGGGAGGCTTTTGTTATCAGTTTGCCAGCTGCCTTGAACTCTGTTTGAGGAAAGGCAGGATAAAAACCTTCCAAATAAATAAATATAGCTAAGTGTGTGTAGAAATTTGAGGAAAGAGGGCTGTGCCTGGTCAGTGCTTAGACGGACGGCTGCTGAGGAATCCTGTGCCTTCTGCACAAAGCTCCCGGATGGGAGGAAAGTGTGATATATAAACGTTATGGAAATCAGTCAATATGGTCTGTAAGGAGATCAAGGTTAAACAGGGTTGCTCCATGCAATCTGAAGCATCCTACGGAAAAGCCATTTCTGTGTTGTATCCTAAAAAGTGGAAGCACTCAGATTTCAGAGGGGCACTTTTCTTTACAACCACTTTTCTTTATTATTTTGCAAGGGGCATCTCTAAGGATGGGCAAATCTGTCTGTTTCAATTATTTCTTCAAATTTCCACATCAGTTTGATATTTTTTTTAAAGTCTTCAATAAAACCCACCAGCATTTTACTGCATTTCTTTCCTAATGTACACCTCTTCTGCAAAGCAATTTCCTCTAAGAAAATACATTTTTGCATGTTCTTTCACAAATATATGCATCTATATATTTGTGCATGGCTAAATTTGGAGAAGTGCAAGTTTATGTTTCAGCCCATGCACTGTTTTGGAAAGAATCAGGTAAATTTGCCTTTAAATGCAAACTGTATTATTATTATTAATATTTTATTTGTACCCTGCCCATCTGAATGGGTTGCCCCACCCACTCTGGGCAACTTACAACACACATAAAAACATAATAAAGATCAAACATTGAAAACTTTCCAATACAGAGCTGCCTTTGGATGTCTTCTAAAAGCTATATAGTTATTTATCTCCTCAACTTCCAAGGGCGTTCCACAAGGAGAATAATAATTTTATTATTATCACATTTCCCCTTTATCCCTAGTGGTGGCCTGCAATTAAAAAAGAAAACCCTGCGAATGACATCCTCCCTTTTGGCAAGCATTCCTTCTTTAGCAACTGGTTCCTAGAGAACAAGTGCCGTATTTTTCCGTGTATAAGACAATATTTTTTCCTTAGAAATAATTGGCATAAATTACGGGTCGTCTTATACACCCTGTGAGGTGAGTGGGGCTGAGAGACTTCAAAGAAGTGTGACTAACCCAAGGTCACCCAGCAGCTGCATGTGGAGGAGCGGGGAAGCGAACCCGGTTCACCAGATTATGAGACTACCGCTCTTAGCCACTACACCACATCGGCTCTCTTCCCCGATGGCACTTCCCCCATTCCATGTACAAAAACCAGCCAAACTGGCAGCTGACTCTTGCTTCAACACTAGCAATGGACAGAGCCCTCCAGGTAGGCTGCATGGCTCACACAACACTTTCCGCTGTCTGCCTCTCAGCATCTGTTGCCTGAGGCAGCAGCCTCACTCTGCCTAACGGTGGAGCCGACTCCAGTTGTTGATCTTTACCATAATCCAGGAATTCCCTCTTTTGCCTCATATGGTTGGGGCATATTTTCCCTGGCCTTCTGGCTGAACCTCACCATCCTGGCCCAGCTGGAAGCCTTCCTCTCAACATCAGTGAGGCGTGATTTTCATCGGGATTGTCAGAGGACCGGCAGTTATACTCCCCTTTCCACGCCTGACGCTGTCTAGATCCTGCTCCACTATCCCTCAATGGCTATTTCTATCTGCACATTAAATCATGGGGGCACTGAACATCAGATTACCTAGTTGGGCCCATAGAAGAGAAAAATGAATCACCTTAAATGAAATTGCTCATTTAATCCTGCTTTGACCCTCCAGGCCTGGAGAATTGTATTTCCGTGTACTGACAGTGCCATCTAGTGACCATTTTGTCATAAAATATGGTTATAGCAGGCAAATAATTGTTTAGGAGTTTTGAAGCAACATTTTTAAAACTCTGGTAATATCTTTATTCTATAAACACTGCGGGTGGGAGTTTTTAGATGAACTTCTGTTGTTCTGTCCAGCTGATAGTTCTGTTTTGTAAGCAGCTTGCAGACTTGTCCAGAAACCATATGTAAATCACTCTTGAATTCTGCCAAGGAAGAAGGGAAAATTTTTCTAGAAAAAGAGGTGCCAGAACTCACCATGAACATCTCCCTTGGTCTCTTAGAATAAGGTTACCAGATTTTTTATTCAATGAATCCAGGGACACTTTTAACTTCAATGGATTTTGTATGAGGACTGGTTTGTAAATCCGGGGACTGTCCCCAGGAAACAAGGACTTCTGGTAACCTTATCTTAGAATGGCAATGGCCCCCAACTGAGAGGTGCTAGAACTAAGTTCCAGTGCAAACCAGCTGGGGGAGAAACCCTGGGGAACATGATAGTCAGTGCAGGAGACTTTTTGATTTTAACTACAGCATCAGAAACTCGGCTGAAGGGATAGCTCAGTCGTACAGCAGGTGCTTTCTGTGTGGAAGGACTTGGGTTCAGCCTCTGAAATCTCCAGTTTAGAGCATCATGTGGCAGAAAATGAGAAAGATATGCCTGATACAGTATAAAACTGTGTGCACACTATAACTTCAAAATTCTATGGAAGATTTTCTGTGTTACAAAAACAAACAAATAAAGAAGGAAAGGTACATATAGTGTCTCCACTTTCAATTCATAGTGTTTTTCACAGTCTGTTTACATTCGGTATGAAACACAGTTGTCACAGACACTGCAAGGAAAGAGTGAGGAGAAGGGGTATTGATCTTTCATTCTGTTGCATAATGTCTGGGCCATCTTTTGCAGGACATTTCAAGCAAAATGTCTACCATGCAAAAGAGATGTGATAAAATTGCCTTATGGCGACTTTATCATATCAGACCGAGAAATAAGAGGCCAGTGGAAGTCGCAATAACAATGACAAGATAATCAAAAGGATTGACAACGCGTACAATCCAATAATTGTTTTGTTGAAAACAGCAATATTGCAAATCATTTGCAAAACTAATATAATGTGTTTTTGTATAAACACAGCATAAGCCACCATCAACGCCTATCCTGTTTCTATCCTGTCACACATTGTGTTTTGATGACTTTCTTTCCCAAAACAGCTTTGGCTTTAACTGAAAAGATGGATGGCCTAGCTGAGTTTTAAGCTAGTGATGTGTTGCACGGCCTCCAATTCCCATCACCTCCAGGCAATATGCTGGTTTAGGCTGATGGGAGTTGTAGGCAAAGGGCTGGATAAGGTGGTCCTTTGGTCAAATCCAGTCATATGTTTCTTATTTCCTTATGGATTCGAAGCAAAACCCTTTCTAAGTTTGCTCGGTGTTGTGGCTTTTCCCCCCGCACATAGTGATGTTGTGCAATTGTGGGAAACAAGAGTTTGTTTTCCTCCAAAACAGGACCAAAGGGATTATCACATTGATATTAAGCAAGCTTAGCAAGCATTTGTCAAATCCCCTTTCATCAGTGTTTGAGGATCTCTCTTGACTTCAACCACAAGAACTATCATAAAGCCTCTTGAGGCCCCTGAGAAACTGGAAATAGAATTTTTATACATGTATTCTTGGAATGAAATCCTGGCTCCTTTGGGGTCAGTGGCAAAATTCCCACTGGTTTCCAACAGAGAGCTGCATTTCTTTGGATTTCTGCTTCTGCCAAATCCTCTTAAGGTTTGAGCAAGAATGTTACCTTCAAATTTTACTAGCTATTTGTTGCATTCCCCCCCGCCCCCTGCAAGAAGCCAGAATAGTTCTATTTGTCTGCCGTGGAAACACATTGGCAGTTAAGTTATACAATATATTAGATCATATTTTATAATATTTAAAAGCGATTAATGTGGTCAAGACAAGTAGCTTAAAAATGTGGCACTGAGAGCGATGCAAAATGGGTGGCCTTGTACTAAAACACCAGATTTCTCTTTCATTTCGTTTTCCTTTTGTAAAAAGAAAAAAAAATCAAACAAAAGGAAGGACTTGATTAACTAGTATGCAATGGAATAGGTGTTGGCATCAACAGGACCAGAAGCTTGGTCATTTGCCAA